CGCGATGCTCGGGCCTCCCCCTGCGGGACTGGGGCTGGCGCGCCCCAGACTCTGGCCGCGGTGTCTTCATGATGACAGCAGCCCCCTGTCGGGAACAGCACGCACCCGAGTATGAAACGCTTTCACGTGGGTTTCCACGGGGTCCTCACACGGGAGCTCCTGGAAGGAGGCCAGGGAATGGACTGTTGTCCCATTTTGCACACAGAAAACCGAGGCCCAGAATGGGGAGATGTGCGTGGGGACGCCCAGCGAGGTCGTGGCGGTGGGTGACAGGTCTTGCTCCTCCAAGTGCAGCCCCCCTTCCCTCGGGCCACTCCGCCGCACCTGTCAGAGGAAAGGGCGGAGCTAAGGGATTGGTGAGGCCAATGACTGGCAATTCTTTCCCCCCTCCTTTCCTTCTGTTCCTCTCCCCATCCCCCACCCCCACCCTCCCCTTCCCTGTCCTTCCTCTCTGTACCCTCTTTCTGTACCATCCAGGTCAGAACTAAGAAGTACTCAGAAGCCAAGTCATGGATCCACCTGCACGTAAAGAAAAGTCCAAAGTTAAAGAACCTGTCAGCAGAGTTGAGAAGGCCAAGCAGAAATCAGCCCAGCAGGAGCTGAAGCAAAGACAGAGAGCAGAGGTGAGGTTGAGGAGGGGCCTGCATACCTGTCATCTGCTGGAGATGACGCAGAAGAGAGAAATCGTCCGCCAGTGATGGGGAGCCCCGCCTGCCTGCAGGCAAAACAGGCGTCCTCCAGGTTTAGAGAGAGGATCGTCGAGGGCCAGAACAGTGAAGTGCCAGCCCATAGTCGCATGCCAAGTTAGTGCCAGGTCTCCAGATGACTCCTGGGGCAGAGCGTTTGTGCTAGGGACCCGAGGGAAGGGAGAAAGGAGAAAGAAAAGGGACATGTGAGGGCGGGGTCAGTGAGAGAGAGCACGTGTCAGACACCCCAGCACAGACGTTCTGCACCCACCGGTGTGTCCTTTGGTCCGTCAACACTTACCATCAGTTTGTGAATAAAAAGTTGAAACTGTCGCCCATAACCACCTGAGCCACACCGGCCGGTATTACGTTTTTTCTAGAATTATTTGTCTTCTTGTTTGTGACCATGGTCGTCACTGTGGAATTCCATTTTCCTTAAAGATTAGTGGATTTTATCACAATAAAAATTTTTTATGAAAAAAGGTTATAGGGTCATTCAAGCTTACTATTGATTCTAGTCAGTTTCGATCATTTTACTTTCTAGGAATTTATTTCATTTACCTTTCCAAACTTATTGACACCAAGTTCATAATGTTTGCTGTAATCTCTATTACATCAGTATTTATGTGGTGTGTGGTTTTTTTAATTCTAATAGTATTGTTTGTGCCTACTCCCTTTTTATCTTGATCAGTCATGTCGGAGGTTTGCTTTAGCATTTTCAGAGAACCACCTTTTGGTGATCCTCTCTATTGTACATTGGGCTGCTTTTCCATTAATTCTGCTATTATCTTCTATGTGTCTCACTTCTCAATTTCTTTATTTGCCCCTTGTCTGTCCTTTTAATTAATCAAGAGTTATTTTCCCTAAACACAAACATTCCCTTCATTTATTTTTGTTCTACAAATTGGGAAGTTATTTGATGTGTCTGTTCTGTAGTGGACAGGTTGAGACTACAAGGATAAACAAAGATGAGAACTAAGGTAGAGCCCCTGCTCTTCACCTTAGAATGTCTGTTGCGGTTTTTGTTCCAGCCCAGAATTGTCCTGGATCCATTCTCACTGATGTAATAGATGCCTCCTATGTGGCCTGTCATCTCTCCTCCCCCCACTCCATCCCTCACATGGTCTCCAGTTATCTTTCCCAAAGCCCAGATATAATCAGGTTGCTCCCCTGCACACCTGTCTTTGGTGGCTCTCCAGAGTCGGCCAGATAAAGTCCAGGTTCCTTGGCATGGCATTTAAGTCCCTGACATACTCTTCTTGCTTTCTCCAGTTCCCCAACCCTCCTCTATAATATCCTTCATATGAGCATACTTGAAGTTTCCAGAACTAATCCTGTACTTTTCCATTATATTTATTTAATCATAATATCCCCCCGTCCCCATCACCTATCAAGTCCCTTCCCCAAACTCTATCTGTTCAAATCCTACAGATCCTTTAAAGGCCAGATTAAGTCACCTGTTTCACTGCTTTCCTGATTCCCCAATTGGAATGAATATCTGCGTCTCCTGTTCCCTTACTGGTGCAGTTCCAGCACTTTCAAGTGGCACCGCCTGTTGTGTCTGAAGATAGGTTGAGCAGCTGCCTCCATTGCTAACACATCTTTTTCTCCCCTTAGATTTATGCCCTTAACAGAGTCATGACTGAACTGGAGCAGCAGCAGTTTGATGAGTTCTGTAAACAGATGCAGCCTCCTGGAGAGTGAGCCACCCGTGTTCAAACCAGATGGGACCCCTGAGGCTTTGTCTGTGAGCTCAGTACCAGTTTTAAGCTGAGGTGGCCCATGTGGAGCCTGACAGAACTAGACAAGAAGGCATTTGTGTTATTCCTAAAAGTGGATAAATCTGAACTTCCTATATGTAAGTTCTGCTTCACTGGTTCCTCCAATTTGAATTGGCCCAATGCTTGCTGAAGAAACTTGTTTTATTCTCCTAAGATAATACTCTTATTTTTTAAACCTTTTTCTATTGTTTGAGAAAAATCAGTGTTTCTTGTGAAACTGTAACTCTCCAAAAATACTAATAAAATGTGCATTTGCTCATACTTTAGTTGGGGGTGCCTAGCCGTAAGAAATGGATCAATGTTATAGGAGAGGAAAAGTGAGGTGAGCAGAGGGAACCCTTGCTCCTTTGGGAGGGGAGTGGAAGAGAGCGGGAGAAAGAATGCGGCTGCTTCCAGTTCTCATTCTTCCTGGGGCTGAAACTCTGCAGTCCCCTGATCCTCCGTTTGTAGCCACACAGTGTAAATCTGTGCCCCTTTACTCCCCGATGAGCTGCTACTCAGGGTCAGAGCTGGAAGCCAGGGTCCTCTCACCTTGCAAGTGTGGACAGCTAGCAGCAGGCCTGCACCAGCAGGAGAGGAGGGCAGGCATTGCTTTTTCATTTGGCAGTGACTTCACCAGGCCTAGAAACGGATTTATGATGGGGATATTCAGGCTGGAATGTCGGAGCTCATGGATGTTTGTAAGGTTCGTACTACATTATACTAACATTGTATATAGCTCTCTAGAATGTGCAACTAAATCAATTCATCTCCAAAGTGAACCTTTTTGAGTGCCAGGTATTGGCAGACAGCAGAAATCCAAAAGCATGTTTATGAAGGAAGTTATAATATAGTGAGACAGACATAGTCATCTAATTCTGAAAAAACATGTATGATAGAGAGATGAATAGAGAGCAGTGGGGAGGGAGAGGGACTGTGTTCCTGTAGAGCCAAATCAGAGCAATGTGGACTTCTCTGGGTTTTTATTTTTAAATCCTCAATTCAGTTTGAAAACATATTTGCCATATACATTGTTCTGCAAACTTCAAGAAATTAGTCCTGAGGTAAAAAGTGCTCTGGTGCCCAGCTGAGGAAAAGGTGGACAGCCAGCAATCCTTTGTATATCATCTGGAGGTAAAAGTCAAGAGAGTGCTGGAGTTTGCTGCTTTTAGCAGACCTATGTTCTTTTTTGAGGTGTAACTTTAGGGTTCCATAGATATTGTTTATTTCTATTCACTTTGGATTTTAGAATATGAATAGCATTTTGAATATCTAGAGTTTAGTACTTTAGACCTTAGGAAAAAAGCATATAATGAGGGCCTAGAATCCAAATGATCCTTCAAGCTTCCAATATGACTAATCTCTAAATGAAGCAAAAGGCAGAAGCTTTGTTGAAATAATTACAGAATTTCAAATTGGGCAACCTGATTGCCCTATGACTAGCTCTGCTTTATGGAGCCAGAGTATGTAAATTCATTGCAGCATTATTTACAACTAGAGGCCCGGTGCACAAAAATTTGTGCACTGGGGGAGGGGGAGGTCCCCTCAGCCCAGCCTGCCCCCTCTCACAGTCCGAGAGCCCTCAGGGGATATCCTACTGACGGCTTAGGGGGGAGCGGGCCTAAGCTGCAGTCTGGCCTCCCTCTGTGGGAGGCCACCAGGCTGATCAGGGGAAGGTGCCGCCTCCATCACCCTGCTGCTGCTGCCACTGCCACTGCCACTGCTGGCCACTGCAGCTTCCAGCCCTCGGCCATTGCAGCCGCCAAGGTGTTTTCATCAACATGGACTCCAGTCCCTTCACCACAAAAAAATGACAACTTTCTTTAGGCATTTTCAAGATGTCTCTTTCATAGGATATGACATTTCTTTCTTCTTTTTTATCCTCCCTGAGGATATTTTCCCATTGATTTTTAGAGAGCATGGAAGAGAAAGGGAAAGACAAAGAGAAACATCAATGTGAGAGGGACACATTGATTAGTTGCTTCCTGCATGAGCCCTGACTTGGACCCATGGCGCAGCAGCTCAGGGGCTGCTAATCAGGCCCTGCCTCTCTCTCCCCGGCCCTCACAGCAGCTGCAGCAGCTGCTGATCAAACCCTCCCCTGGGGCAGGCACACAGAGGCCCTCGCCGTGGCCCCGCCCCCAACACTGCAAGTCCCCGCCCACCCACGCCTGCTGCATAGGCAGCCTGCTGATCAGTCATTACTATGACGGCATCTCCTACAATTTGCATATTCCTCTATTATTAGTATAGATAGCCAAGATATGGAAGCAACCTAAGTGTCCATTGATAGATGATTGGATAAAGAAGAGGTGGTACATATATGCAATGGAATATTACTCAGTTATCAACAATGAAATCTTACCATTTTCGACAACATGGATAGACCTAGATGGTATGTTTAAAATAAGTCAGACATAGAAAGACAAACACCATATGATTTCACTTATATGTGGAATCTAAAAAAAAATAAAAATAGCCAAAGCCGGTTTGGCTCAGTGGATAGAGCGTCGGCCTGCAGACTCGGGGGTCCCGGGTTCGATTCCGGTTAAGGGCGTGTGCCTTGGTTGCGGGCATATCCCCAGTGGGAGATGTGCGGGAGGCAGCTGATCGATGTTTCTCTCTCATCGATGTTTCTGGCTCTCTGTCTCTCTCCCTTCCTCTCTGTAAAAAATCAATAAAATACAGAAAAATAAAAATAAAAGAACAAACAAAACAGAAACAAACTCATAGATATAGAGATGGTTGTCAGATGGCAGGGAGGCGTGGGCTGGGTAAAAAAGGTGAAGGGATTAAGATGTGCAAATTGGTAGTTACAAAATAGTCATGGGATATAAAGTAGAGCATAGGGAATAGAGTCAATAATGTTGTAACAACTATGTATGCTGCCAGGTAGGTAATAGACTAGACTTATCTAGCAGACTAGACTTTGTAAGCTATGTAAATGTCTAATCACTGGGTTGTACCCCTGAAACTAATATAATATTGAATGTCAACTGTAAGTGAAAAAAATTTTTTAAAAGAAATGCTATGTGGCTGGTGTGGCTCAATTGGTTGAGCATCGTCCCATAAACCAGGAGGTCATGGTTCAATTCCCAGTCAGGGCACATGCCCAGGTTGTGGACTTGATTCTCAGTAAGGGGCGTCAAGAGACAGCCAATCAATGTTTCTCTCGTTGATGTTTCTATCTCTCCCTCTCCCTTCCACTCTAGGAAATCAATAAAAAAATATTAAAGAGAGAGAGAGAGAGAGAGAGAGAGAGA